CAAGTTTCATGTTGGAAAATTTTCCATTTGAAGCTTTCAAGTTGGAGTTATGGACCTATGATCACAAATGACCTATAATCACCAATACCCAAAATAACCTTGGCTTGCAAAGATCATAACTTGAGTTCTACAAATCCTATCAAGGACTTCTAGTACTCTATGGAAATCTAAGATCAATATATACAACTCTCATGTTGGCCAAAAATCCATTTGAAAACTCCTTGAAGGGCAAACGTTGCTTGGAAGTAAAGTGAATTTCACAGATAAATTTCAGTGTCATCTGATGACCTGTAACTTGTAAGGACCATAACTTGAGTTCTACAAATCCCCTTGAAGACTTCTAGTACTCAAATTAAAGGTATCGAGATGCTCTACAATTTTCATGTTGGCCAAAGATCCATTTGAAACTTGTATTTTTACTTATGTGGCTTTGAAGTTAGGCACTAAATAGGGGATTTTACACTAAAACCCTAATTTAGCAACTTCCCACATTCTTGATTCTTCTTTGCTTAATCTTGGCACAACACCACACATGTATCAACATAACAATCCATGAATCCCATGACCTCAAAGTAGGCTTTGATGCTCTTCAATTACTCAATTGACCTAGGAGTGACCCAGATGAAACCCTAGTTGACTGCACCTCAACTATGGCTCTCATACTTGAATCAATGACTTATCTCAGCTTCAACAGGGCCCTCTAGGCATCCCATAAGATCCATACACACCTCAAATCCACATCCCATGTTTCTCATCCCACTGATGATTCTCAATATTCCTCAAGATAGGAGCAAAACCCACATGTAAGCACTCAAACTTCTCAAGACATCAAATCACTTCTTGATGGCTTGGATGATCTCTCAAACTTGGATAAGACCTCTTGCTAGGCTTCTTCTCTTGATAGACACCCTTGATCCCTTGTTGGAGGCATGCTATGCTATGATATGCAAATGATTAAACTATGTACATGATGTAACTATGCAAATGAAATGCAATGAAACATAAATCAGGCAAGAAAAGGTTGAGCAAATTTTGGGGTGCAACAGTTATATCTAGTGTAGCCATCTAAAAGGATTAAACATTCAAACTCTACTGCTGAACCAACCAACATTTTTGCAATAGGCATTGGATATTCGTTTTTTAGAGTGGTAGTATTTAAGTCTCTAAATTCTATATAAACTCTAAGAGTTCCATTCTTTTTAATAACAAGAACTATATTTGCTAACCATTGGACATATCTAGTAGTTCGTATGAATTTATTTTCTTAAAATCCTTTCAATTTCTTCTTTAATCTTCGACATCACCTCTAGCGCAAATCATCTTGGTGTCTGCTACACTGGCCTCTTTCCTGGTCGGATTGGCAACTTTAAATCCATAAAATCTTAACCGAGTTCTAGAATTTCATCATAGTCCCAAGTGAAACAGTCTTAAAATTCTTTCAGTAAATCAATCATATGTACCTTCAAACTTGGATCAATATTTGTACTTATGTATGTTTGTTTCTTGATTTTTACATCTCCTAGATCGACTTCCTCTAGAAGGTATTATGCTTGTATCCTTTTGGCTAGAACTGATAGGTCTTTTTCAAATATCAAAGGATCATCATCATAAATACAGTCGAGCCTATAGCCTCCTAGTTTGTCTTTATATTTCTTAACCATTACTGAATGTTCTTTGTCCATTAACTCATAAATGGGACTTTCACTGGTCTCCTTTGTTTGATTAAGCTCAATTAGATTGTCTTCGATAGCCATCTTTTGTTGGAAATCAGCCTTTAGAGCCACCTTTCTGTGATTTTTGGCCATATAGGCCGCAATTCGAGGAAGTGTTTTCGACATAGTCATCATTATCATACGTCTCTGACCATCTAGCACATGTCATGGTCTCGTGTTCCCACATGAACCCATGTGTAGGATGTAACTTCATTGAATAAAACACATCTTCTTGCAGAGAGAATCTTGTTCCAACAGGAAAACATGGGGAAATGTGAGTTAACCTTTTGTCAAATGTTCTTTTGTCAACATGATTTACTTCACTCGAGAAGTAACTTTGATCTGCTTTAACATTTTTGACGTTACCGTCAGACCTCCATATCAAAATTCTCTGGTGAACAAATGAAGGGGATTCCCCCTGCACCATGTATCCATTCTCGTCCTAGCAAATAATTATAATTTTCTTTGGACTAAATGACCACAAATAATGGTGGTCTTACAATTTTACTGACAACAATGTCAACTCGAATAACTCCCAAGAACTTGCTCATTTTTCCTTCATAATTCTACAAACCATGGTATGAGGACTTAAATATGTATCATACTTACCAATTCTCCTCAATAATAAATGTGGCATTAAATTTATTTCATCTCCCCCATCTACTAAGACTTTATTAACCCCTACACCATCAACCTTAGTCCATATAAATAGGGGCTTCAGGTGTTGTTTCATTCCTTCATCGGGACTGTCGAAGATGACTTTTTCTTCTTCTACACGCTCATTATTCATAACATAATAACATAGAGGCATATGATTCATAATTTATTCAGCAAAATAATCTTCCTCTTCTTCTGTCACCTTAGTAATTTGTTCTAATTCAATATGTAGGACATAAAAAGTGTTACATATTATATCCAACTCTTCTTCTAACCCATAATCAAAATTATCGGATGCCTTACTCGACGGGGGATGGTTACTTTCTATGCAAGAAAAATTTATCAAATTTAAACGTAATGACACTTTGGACCTTGTCCTGCGTCCATCTGATAGAATCGTCATTGACATTAGATGGGTGTTTAGAAACAAACTAGATGATAATGGAATAATTACCAGAAGTAAAGTTAGGCTAGTGGAAAAATGTTATAGTCAAGTTGAAGGAATATACAACAAGGAGACATATTCTCATGTAGCTCGTCTCAGAGCTATTAGCCTCCTTTTGGAGTTCAACTGTTGCTTGGATCTTAAATTATATTAAATGAATGTTAAATCAGCTTTTCTTAACGGTTATACAAATGAAGAAGTATATGTCTTTCAACCTCCTGGTTTTGAGGATCAAAAAAATCTAAACTATGTTTTTTATCTAAAAAGAGCCCTCTACTATCTCAAACAAGCTCATCGAGCTTGGTATGAGCGCCTTAGTGGATTTACTCAGATATATTGATTCCAACTAATACAAAGATAGGGATGATAGAAAATCTACAGTTGAATACATCTTTATGTTTAAAGAAACACCAAACATGTAGTGTTTAAAGAAGGAACCAATAGCGACATTCACTTCTTGTAACGTCGAGTATATTACATCTTCGTTGTGTGTGTGCAAAGGTATGAGATGAGAATCTGAGGAGAATTGGCAATGAAGAGATTTCAATTAAGGATCTGGAAAAGCTGTCAGTGCAATGAAATCTCATCTCAATATGCTTGCTTTGTTGAACAAAGTTGTCAGTGCAATGAAATTTCATCTCAATATGCTTGCTTCTCCCAAGTGCAATGAGATTCTTAGCAAGATTTATAGCGGATACGTTATCAATCATGAGTGTTACAACCTCACTTATGATTGATAACATTTTTGCTATAAATCTTGCTAAGAATCTCATTGCACTTGGGAGAAGCAAGCATATTGAGATGAAATTTCACAACTTTTGAAAACTTGTCAGTGAAGGAACATAGAGGTTAAGGTATTGTAGAATTGAAGACCAGGTGACTGATTTTGTTTACCAAAGGAAGGTCGATTGAAGTATTCAGTAGATTGAAAAAGCATATGGACATGGAAGACTTGGAAGAAATAAATTAAGGTGGTGTGTTAAGTGAAAAGGTGTAATTCACGTGCCTGTAACTGGTTACTATGGGGGTTGTAACCAGTTACATCCTCTTTAAAAAAGAATCAGAATGTTAGAGTAACCGGTTACATCTTATCTGTAACCGGTTACAGTAGAAAGAAAAGTGTTTAGTTATTGATTACATTCTGTCTATAACCGATTACAGTTATAGGATTTTTTTATCAGTTGTACCTCATTCAATGTATTTGTATAAATACCATTTAGACCTCTCCCCCTCACTTTGTGTGTGTAGTTCATTAATTTGTTACTAAACTATTTTCCTTTGATCACTATATAAGGAAGGTCATTATGACTTGTGTATTATGATGGTTGAATGATTAATTACAATGAATTTCTTCCTTTCTAAGTTATTTCATTAACAATGACTTTTGAAGTTTTTATCTAGTTAATTGTTATATGTAAAAATCAAAAACTAAATTAAGTGAAAGAGATTATTTATGGTTTTGATGTATGAAAAAAGTAGCTTCGTGGGTAGTAGTGGGTGGAAGATTAAATAGAGAGCATATTTTAGATTAGGGAGAGGTGCTAAGTGGAGAAAGAAAATTAAGTATAAGAGCAACCAGAGAAATAGTAAAGGCTTGTTAAATTAAAAAAAAATATTAATAAATTGTTTGCGAATATTCGTTATCATATTTGTAAATGTAATACTTACATTTCTTTTTTTGGCAATTTTGTTATGCCAAATAATCTATTGTATTGTTTCTTTTCTTTTCAAAACTTCATTATTACGCTATAGTTGTTTTAGTTTCATGGTATCAGAACTTCATTTCTTTCAAAATAAAAATAAAAAAGACTAGTGAAATTTATAATAACACACATGCAGCCTCCAACATTAGCTACATATTTTATATTATTCATACATGCCACATGATAAGTTGTTAAAAATAACCAACACAAGCAACAATATATTCCTAGTGTGACATGAAATGTCCACTAAATTATTATGCTGCAAAGCCTTCTTCCATTACTGAGGGATCTTATTAAACTTACAATAAGCATAATCCTTATATTTCTTGGTCTTAAACTTTGGTTGGTTGTCTTTGTTAATCAACTTTGGATGAGGACCAACTTCAAACTCTCCTTGTGGCTCAATGAAAACTGGCCAAGACATTCTTGTCTCATCTTTGTTCACTGTTGTTCTGTGCAACACATCCTTATATTTCCCATTGCTTAGTATCTATGTAACCAAAAAATTAAAAATAAATATTATTACTTTATCATCAAACAAGAAATGTTGTTAAGCATAACTTAACCATGCAAAACCGACATATAAGTGAGGATTGATCTCACTTATAAGTACATGCTCTGATCATATATTGTCTGATGCAAATCTATGCAAAGATTAAAAGATGAAAAAGTATGGAGCAAATTAAATGTACACCTCCATTTGGTCACCGATGTGAATGACAAGAGCATTTGGGACATACATAACATCATACCATTGCCCATCTCTAGAGGCTTGAAGGCCTTGCACTTCATTAGGGACAAGAATGGTGACATGAGCCATGTCAGTGTGAGGTGGCACACCTAAGACAAGATCAGGACTTGGACAAGGTGGGTAGTAGTTTATTTTCAATAGGTAAATCATGTTATCTCCACCTGCAGCTTCCTTAAGTTCATGTTCTTCAAGCCCAAGCCCAATTGATCATAAAAGATTGACACTATTCTATATATATATATATATATATATATATATATATATATATATATATATATATATATATATATATATATATATATATATATATATATATATATATATATATATATATATTAATTTTAGTTCCGTCCTTAAATGATAGATGGAGTATCATCTATGTGTAAGTGTCATTTTAATAATAATATATATTTTAAAATTTAGAGAAGTGCCGATGTCATTTTAATAAGAGATTAGTGTAATTTTCCCATAACTAAAATAACATTATCCTGAAATTAAACCTACTATTTACCTGTAAGAAGCAGGTTTGTTAGGCCAAACACGATAATTAACAGAAGAAGGTGGCCAAATAATATGAAACAAATGATCCACCCAACCTTTCTTCCCATTTACATCTTTCTGAAGATTGGTACCATACCCTTTAATTGAATTCGACCCAACAGGTTTAGCAATAACCTCTTTTTCTTCTTGTGGTAACTCAAAGAACTCTTTACCAACACTTTGTAGTTTTTTTATAACATCATTTGGAATCTCATGGTTCACAATTTGAAACATTCCCCACTCTTTACTCGCTTCCATTATCTTGCTTTGTAATATTTCTCCATCTGGATTGCTGAAATCGATTATCGGCACCTCGAGTTTGACACCGGGGACGGTTGTTATTCCCGGTTGTTCGTTTTCTGCTCGGACGAACATGGAGGGGATTGATGAGTCTTTGGATTGATGAGCTATTGTTTGTACTCTTAGGACCTCCATTGTTGGTTTTTTGAGATTTGAAAGAGCTTTTTCTTTGTTTGTTTGTTGTGTTGATTTGTTGTAGTGATTTCTCAAATGCTAGAATTTATAGAAAATTGAATATCTCAACTACCTAACGAAAGTTAAAAGAGTATTTATGTTTTTGTTGTGACTTTCCACCGCTATTAAATAACTTTTTTTTACTATCTAGTAAATATTAATAGTAACTATTTCAATATTAGAAACTGTAAAAATAAGTATTTCAATTTTAAATTTTTATTATTATATATTTAAAGTGTTTTATTCTTATATTTTATTTGAAAAATTCACATGATTAAAATATTCTTAATGTGTATTATTGTATTTACATTTGTATATATGTGGAGAAAAGATATTAAATTAAAAATAATATAGATGATGGTATTTATTATAATTATATTAAGTAATTAATATTATATTAAAAATTAAAATAGAAAATTATTTTAAAATGAATTAACTATTTAGAAGAAAAAAATTATTCATTTATTATATATCAGTTTATTTCATTTTCAACTTAACAAAAAAGTTTAGTCGTATTATAATGTTACTTTTATAGTATATACATACAATTTTTCGTTATTGGTATGCTTTGAAGGCTCTTATTTGCCTTCTCCTTCAAGTTTGTTGAATTCGGTATAACTTATATCCAGGGCTTTTTGGGAAGTTGAGAATGCAATTACTTATAAATTTTGTAGAAAAACTAGAAAGGTTGGTTGTGAATATCTTTTGAGTGATGAGGTTAACTAGAAAGGTTGGTTGTGAATATCTTTTGAGTGATGAGGTTGAGTTGGAGAATTTGATATCTTTAGAAAAGATGGATAGAAAGAAAAGAGCTTCTAGTGTGTCTAAGGGATGGGGTCAATGTTAGTGTGATCTTTTAATATTAAGAGTTTATGGGAGAGAGTTGAGATGAAGAAGGTGAAAGAGTTTTTTATTTCTAATGTGTTGGAGTTTGTGGATATCCAAGAGACTAAACTTTAAGTAGTTTTTGATTCATTTATTTATTCTGTTTGGGTAAACTATTTTTGTGATTGGAGCTTTATATCAGCAGAGGGTAATAAAGGTAGTCTTCTCCCGATTTGGTGTTGTGTGAAAGGAAATACCTTTTTTCTTCTCTGGGCTTGGTTTCTGTAACACCCCCCTCTAAACTATCGCGGAAAAATAAGATAAACAACAGAGACAATTCAGAGTGCAGCAAATAAAATCTCATGACGACCATCATGGATGTCACGACCGTCACGGTCATGACGAGCGTCATGGAGCTGTGACGACAGTCACACTCCCAAATTCTCAGACGCAGCAGAGGTGTCACATTCTACACTTAACCAAAACACATACACCTGCAAAAGATCATTTACTAACATACATAGCACAAAATTCGGATGAACAAACAACGGTAACTTGTTTAACATTTTAATCATAAACGCCATGTTATAATACACTTCCAACGATTCGTACTAATTAAATTCCATTAATATTCAGCAAGTAATTATCTTGCATCAATTCACTAAAACAACTATGCATCCAAGCAACATTTGGCATTATCAGAAACAACCAATCTATTTGCCATAGTACTTAATAAAATTCAGCAACAAGGAATTCAATTAAAACAATAACATTAATCGTTCATCCCCCCCCCCCCCAGAGTGCTACGTATCAGAGCGACCAACGACCTTAAACATAAAGCGACACTTTCTTCCGAGTTACCTGCAAATTACCACCAACGAAGGTAACATACAACGTAAAGGGTGAGATATCAACAATATAACATAAGGCATGATAAAAGTCATGTCAGAATTTATCACAGCATTATAATTCCAGCAGTTCGCATAAATATTAGTAATAATTAAACTGCAACCACCCTTTATTCATACCAACAACAATTATCATCATATCTCAGCAACTCATCAAAACAACTCAACAACGTAACTCAACAATGCAACTCATCTGTGCATATGCATGTGGTACCATTTTGGGAGACAACACTCCACAATAATTCGGGAGACAACTCTCCACAATAATTCGGGAGACAACTCTCCACAATAATTCGGGAGACAACACTCTACAATAAATCGGGAGACAACTCTCCACAATCATTTTATTTTGTCATTAAAGACACAACCGTCGCCAATCCAGGCCAAATAATATGCTATGAGATGCAACTATTATGGACTATAACACAACAACAACAACTGTGCAACAACCGTGCAACAAGGCATCACGCCTACAACCAATTATCCATAACGGAAACATCACATTTCGCATACATCATGTACTCACCACTTCAATTTGTTCATATCAGAGAACTACCAACAGTATCGTTCCTACGAATAAGACTCTAACACATTTTCGCAGAGAACAATTAAAAACAACCTCGTCTCTACAATTGAGAACTCAACAGCATTTTCATGTCAGAGAACAACTGACAACATCATTACTACAAATAAGGACTCAACATATTTTCATATACTTTCATACGGTTAATATAACTACAACTTCTAATTTACTTAAATAGGGACATAATAACAACATCATTACGGGAACATTACTACGGTAACCTTACTACGGGAACGTTACTACGGGAACGTTACTACGGCAACATTAACCCTTAATATTTATCGATCTACAGGAACATTAATTCTTAATATTGCTTCAACTTACGGGAACATTACTACGGTAACGTTACTACGGGGACATTACTACGTATTTTCCCCATTAGGGAAACCTTAGAGCATCGTATATAACACATTCATTCTTACATAGAAAAACCTTGTCCTAACATTTATCGATTACGGAAATTATACCTATGAATCAATCCCCTACATGAAATTGATCATACCCACGGTTATAGAATTGAACCCCACCCTTACCTTGAATAGAGGTCAATTCCAAGCTTTCTGGTTCTGGTTCCGTTCTACGATAACTCTCCTGCAACTTTCTTCCAATTTCACCGATGGAAAATTCTTCTTCTTACTTTCTCCACAGCCATGTTCCTTTTTCCTTCTCCTCAACCTTTTTCCTCAATTTTGGTTTTCTGAGTATTTTATCGTTCTTTTGCTCTTTCTCCCACAACTGTTTATCGTAACTTCCTTTCTCTTCTCCCAAAATCCGTTCTCTGGCAATTTATCGTGTCCTCCTCTCTTTCCCAAAAACTTCTATATTTCCTTTAATCCCTTATTTCTTATTTTATTATTTAAATTCAATAATAATAATAATACAAATATTATTCTCCATCTAATAATAATATTCATAATAATAGTAATAATATTCCACCAATAATAATATTAATACTAATAGTAATAATAATAATAATAATAATAATAATAATAATAATAATAATAATAATAATAATAATAATAATAATACCACCAATATTACTATTAACTATTATATTATTATCTCAACACCACATCTCCACAAATAATCCTTATATATCAAGGATACTCACCAATCATATACAAACTCACCCCACCTAAGGGCACACCAACATAAAATAATTAAATTAACACCAAAATGACTGAATGAATAAAATGGGTGTTACAACTCTCCCCTACTTAAAATAATTTTGTCCTTGAAATTACCTCAATCAAACAGCTCCCAACCAGACCACTTTCACCAAAGCAATCTCTTCACCTCGAAGTTTCTTCTCGTTCATCCACCTGAACTAGCGACGCCTCAACAGTCAAATTACCTTTCACTTGTACACCATCCACCCGAATCAATGTACTTCTTCAACTTAGGCACATGCCACATCATGTAAATTCTCACGAGTGACAGCGGTAAAACAGTCTAACCTGCTATTTTTCCCACGCTTCTGCTGCACCACTCTGGTACAGATCGCGAAACACAGTGTGCTTCCGAGACTTCAAACTTGACCAACACCAGTTACTATCGTAACTCTCAAAATACGTCTTTCTTGGATTCTTTGGATCTTTTCAGTCATCTCTTGCACAATCTCAACTAGCTTCAACATAGAATGATTAATCTTCCTTGTTAGAAAAAGAGCCAATTTAGTCATTCTATCCAAAATCACCCAAGTAAAATCATATCCCTCAAATTCTCCGGGAAACTCAACACACAATCCATGGGAATACTATCTGATCTCCCCTCTAGAATATTCAACGGTCGCATCGGACCCAACGGTCTCTGAATTTTATTCTTCGACTTCCAACAAGTCTAACCAATATATACTAACTCAACCACTTATCTCTTCAACTATGGCCCTCAAAATAATTTCCTCAAATTCGGTTACATCTTCATAGCACTGGGATGGATACTCCATCTACCTCAATACTCTCATTCCACTTAATAATATCTAGAACGCAAACTCTATCACGACATCTCATGATACTATTTCCATTAATCTGAAAATCATCCCTTCGACTTTAGTTCCTCAGATTCAACCAATCTACCAACTCAAGCCAGAATTCTGACCTTATCGAATCTCGTCAAGAATACCCTTAGTAAGGTCCAACAAACTAAGCTAAACTCCAAAGGAAGTCTCTTCACAAACAAAACTCATATCACAAAATTGTTCAATCAGTCCTAACTCTTTTCACTACCATCATTGGCATATGCAAGGACTTCCAAGTCAATGCATAAGCTACCACGTTTTGATTTCCCCGGATGGTAATTCAATTCAAAACCATAATCTTTCCGGAGTCCCAATTATTTCCTCTGCCTCATATTCAACTCTTCCAAATCAAATAAATACCTTAAGCTCTTGAGATCACCAAACATATCAAATCTCAAACTAACTAATTGAAGCTTCCAACTCCGGCACAACCACAACAGCAGCCAACTCTAAATCACTTATCAAATGATTTCTCTTATGTACTTCGAGTTCCTTTAAAGCATAACCAAAACTCACTGATGATACACTTAACATATCTCCCTATCGCATCAACAAAGCATCACAAAACACAACAAATGGTCCTATCGGGTTCGGCAAAAATCAGCACACGATACATTTTCAATTTTCT